TTCGCTGCTCCGACCTGCTCAGGCTGTGCCCAGCGCGCGCTCTTTTCCTTCTCATCTCTCTGCTTTCACCGTTTCCAGGAGAAACCGGAGGCCTCCCACCTCTCTTTGACAGAAAACCCACAAACTTTGCCTTTTTCCGAAGTTTCCTCCGCGCTGCGTTACCTCGTCAAAGAAATTCTCTATCAAAAAAAAAAAAAGGGCTGGGCACAAACCTGTACTTCCTCTTCTGGGACACGTTGATGGCGTACGCATTTGCGGCGCCGTCCACTTTCTTTCCCTGAAAGACGTTAAGAAAAAAGGTCCCAAAATTCAGCATATTATCCCCCAAAAAGGCACGGCGACATCGCCGAACCCGTCGGAGGCGGCCGCGGGCTCCACCGCGCCGATCCGCACTCACTTTCGTCGTGTCGAAAGAGGCGAAGCCCATCGTTTTCATCATCTCAATTTCCTCTTCCGTCTTGCCCTGCAAATCTTCCTCTGCCAAGGCAACATAATAAAAGAGTTCGACGAACGCGGCCGTCGGGGTTCACCAAAAACATTTTAACTGAGCGCCCAGGAGCCCTCTGGGCCGGTCCCAACCCAAGCGGGGAACCCAGGACGTATTTTAAAAGAGGAAAATTCCCCCCTCACCCGTGATCTGTCGCTCTTTGCCTTTGGAGTCCTTTATCTCCTTCTTCTCTTCATCCCGCCTTTCCTTCAGCCGTGGCGGGGAGGAGGAGCTGGATCGGTGCCGTCTCGGCGACCTGACGTTGCAAACGGTTTGCGGCTTCCCAGCTGTGCCGTTACCGCAGACGGGTTTTTACAGCGTTAACGAGTTCCCACCGTGCCCGTGCTGCCCGAGCTGCCCCTCGCCTGCGCTCTCCAGCTCGTCCCCACCCCGGCGCTGGCGTTTCTGCCCCTCACCTGGACCGTCTCCTGTGTGGGGAGCGAGAACGGCTCCTCCTCCTGTCCCTGTCCCGGGACCGGGATCGCTCTCTTCGCCTCCTCTCCCTCTCTCGTGAGGTGGATCGCGACCTCCTGCGCTCTGCTCAGAGAAAGGCAGCGCTGGGTTCGGTTTCTGCTTCCTTACATCTTTCCCCAATTTGTTGCCCGCTTTTCAAAGAAA